AGGAGGAGAAGGAGGAGGAGGAGGAAGAGAAAGTGGAGCGGGTGGCGGGCGGGGATCCGCCGGGCGGTCCAGGTTCGCGCTTCCCAGGGAGAGAGTCGGTGGTTCCCGGGACTCGCGGGAACCAGGGAAGGAGGCGAGGACACTTCCTGGGCGCGCGCATTCCGGGGACTAGGGGTGCGAGCAGAACCCCCCAGTCGCGGCGTGAGGAGGTGGCCCGGGAGTTGGGGGTCTGCAGGACAGTTATTTGGAGCAGCGTCTAGATTTGGCCCTTGAACTTTTTAGCTGGACCCTGCGCTGCCCTTGGGCCCGGAGAAGGAGGTCGTTATTAACAGTTACAGGGGCAGGTCCACAGCCTCTTACACGGACTGTCCCACCTGAAACTGTAGCTAAAAACCATGGAGGCTGAGCCTCGTTCACGCTCAGGCGGAGGACGCAGCCCCTGAGATGAGCACACGCCTGAGGCGCCGGAGTCCGGGCGCGGGGACATCCTTCCTGTGGCCGGACTGACGGACACGACCCACCGGAGGGGGCTTTCACTTTTCATCTCTTAGCAAAGGCCAACCTGGATTTTCACTTTGGCCCTGAAATGTGCTTCGTTTTCTATGAAGTCAGAGGCGGACTACGATGGCCTCCCACACCTCCCCCTTTTGAGGCTTATGATCTCTTTTCTTCTTATATAAACTGGGACCAGTATGTATTTTCTGTCATTCATCTGATAACACCCATTTTGCACCTTCCCTGTCTTCTCTAAGTATGGGTTCCTGCCCAGAGTTGCAGCTCTGGATCTGGGAAGAATCCTTGAGTGCAGTACCCCAGCCCCACCCCAACAAGTAAGTGCCTGTCCTGCGGCCGGACTCGGGGGGAGGGGGTGGCAGAGCTGTGTGGAGGGAGCAGGTCTCCCTCTGGTGACTTGCATCTTCACACTCAGTTAAGCTCTGTGACATCTAAGAAACCTCTCTACACGTTTCTGAGGGAGAAGCAACGTGTTTGAGATCAACGGATTAATTTAACTAAAGGTTTAACTTTAGCCCTGGGGCTAATGGGTAACTGCATGGAAATTCCACTCCATGCCCCTTTCAGGGGAGTAAGCTGAGTAACGGAGAGAAAATACACCCTGTCCAGAGATGTGCAGCCAGCCTGGAGGACTAGATATGGGGGAGTTTCAGGTGACATTTGCTCAGGACAACCATGGCACGTGGCCATGTACACGAAATTGCTCGTATTTTATTTTATGCCATTTTAGGCTTTTTGTAAGAGGGAAGCCTGGTGTCTTTATAGCAGCCTTACAGCAGCTAAGCCAAAGCTTAAGGACCAGCTGTGTGAAATTTCATTAGGATTTTAATTACTTTGTTTAACTACCTACCTAGAAACTTCCAAGCTGCTTTATTACAATTAACTTACTTTCCATGACCACTGGCCTGGTTGTGCTGGCAGGCAATGTTCACGAATGGCACCAACTGGGCACATGTAAAAGAAAACCTATTTTTTAAATTATGACAGTGATAAATTTTCATTGCAGAACATTTAGAGAATAAGATAAGCAAAGTAGAAAAAAGGCATCACTTACCATCTCATTTCCAATGAAAAAATGTTAAACACTTTTGATTTTTGTGTTGTGTGGGGTTTTATAAAATTTGTCTTTATTGTTGAAAGTATTACAGATGTCCCCCTCTCCCCCCCCCAGATCCCTTCTCGCCTTCACCTAGCCACTTTTAGCCCACCCCCACCCCTACCCTATGTCCTGTGTGGTTGTTTAACCAGAAGCAAACGCAGGCTGTTTGTGTCTTGTGATTTTTAGCTTGCTGTGTTGTGATCATCTTTCCATGCAGAATATTCTTCTACAGCGTAATTCGAATGACTGCATGACGTTCAGTTTGACAGAGAGAGTAAATCATTAAACCTGTGCCACACATTAAACATTTAGGTTGTTTCCACTTTTGCTGTTATAGAGTGGTGATGACATCCTTTGTTTTTCTAAACCTTGCTGCCACTCAGTATTGGTTTCTTCGGTTACATAATTTCTGGGGCAAGCGGCACGTCATGTTGAAGGCTTTCCACCTAAAAAAGTTCCAATCTGATTTCCCACCCTTTTGCCAGCGTTGGGCATTATCGTTTTTTTCAGAAATATTCGTTTCTTTGCTCATTTGACACAACTCTGCCTATTTTTTAAATATATTTTATTGGTTTGTTTTTTTTTTTACAGAGAGGAATGGAGAGGGACAGAGAGTTAGAAACATCGATGAGAGAGAAACATTGATCAGCTGCCTCCTGCACACCCCCTATTGGGGATGTGCCCACAACCAAGGCACATGGCCTTGACTGGAATCGAACCCGGGACCCTTCAGTCCACAGGCCAACGCTCTATCCACTGAGCCAAACTGGTTAGGGCTAACTCTGCCTATTTTAAATGCCAAATGTGCAAACTAATTTAAAATATTTATTAAATCATCAAATAAGAATCAATATCTACTTTACCTCAGAAACTTCCAAGCTGCTTTATTACAATTAACTTACTTTCCATGACCACTGGCCTGGTTGTGCTGGCAGGCAATGTTCACGAATGGCACCAACTGGGCACATGTAAAAGAAAACCTATTTTTTAAATTATGACAGTGATAAATTTTCATTGCAGAACATTTAGAGAATAAGATAAGCAAAGTAGAAAAAAGGCATCACTTACCATCTCATTTCCAATGAAAATAACTGTTAAACTTTTGATTTTTGTGTTGTGTGGGGTTTTA